CCCAGTTTTTTACTACTCCTTCACCTCCTAATGCCTTACATTGTGCTCTCTGGAACTGTCCCGCACTTGGCCACCCCAACTATATTCAGGATGCCTCTTACTTTTGGCCCTCTCAGGTTGTGTTTATTTAGTTTTTCACAACTCACTGTCCTTAGAACGAGAACGGAGGCATGGCGATACACATTCCAAACTTCCAACTATAGGAGATGAAGAATATAAAACATTTTTTTCTTAAAGCTCCATCTCCTAGAATTTCTTAAAGTCTAGGTGCAAATGCATGATCTGGCTTCTGTCAATGAGAAGCACCCACAGGAGACCTGGCAGTGGAGGTGAGTTAAGTCAGGTCCTCTGGCAAGCTTTGTGATGGGAGAGTCTAAGGCAGCTGTGGAGGTTGTTGAAGTTCCATCCCCACACAGGGGCAGCACAAAATGTTGCTAGGGCAGTTCTTCTGACTGTGTTTAGCCAGAACACACTGCCCCAGCACTCTAATATTCAAGTCTGGTTCTGCGGCACTCCAAGAATAGTCCAACTGAATTCCACTCTCCTACTCATTTGCTCATTTACTGTACAAATATCCATTGAGCGCCAATTTTGTGCCAGGTACTTTCATAGGTGCTAAAGATACTGCAAGTGAACAAGCTAGACATACTCCCTGCCCTCAGAGGAATCAAGTTTGGGGCTGAAAGGGAGACCAATGTAGACAAAAGACATAAGTCAGATGTATAATATGATACATCTGTATACAGATGTATAATATGATAGGGGTAAATTCGGTTCCTATTTCTTGTCTCTCAAGTTGCTCTTTGATGCTTGCTGAAACTAAGGTTGAGAGAAAAATCTCTAGGTTCTGCACATCCCATCCACCATAGAGTGACAAACCACTTCTGCTCTGCTCATCTTTTTGCACCCGGTTTTGCATTATGTCAAGTCCTTCATCTCCACAGTTCACAAATTCCAATGTACATTAAATATGTTTACTGATGCTACAAGTTCTAGATGAAGTCCCCATGTCACCAGGATAGCTCAACTTTCCCCTTTCCCCAGAGTTGCATTTAAATTCAGGGCTGGGAGGACTGGAGGTGGACCTTATCAAGGCACTAGAGTACATGGGGCCTTCTGGAACCTGATATCTGTCATCTGTCTGTGCTGACACCCACAGGGAGTCCCATTGCGCATAGGTCTTTGGTTGTTTAAAGGTTCCCCATGTACCTGTCTGCACCCATCTCTCTGGTTCAGTGGCACCGTCTACCATGTTTAGGCCTTGGGAATATGCAAGTCTCTGAAGGCTATCTGGAACCCTGGCTGTCTTAGACTCCAAAAAGTCATTTTCACTCTCCAAGTCCTCGCTGCTTTTCTGCAACTCTTTTCAAAGAGGGACACATTAGCTGTCTCTTTTCAGATCACCCAAACCTCCCCGCATTTAGTCTAACTAAACAGGGCATAAATGTTTTTCTATATCCTCCTTCAGAGATCCACTCTTTTCTTCAGTTAGAGAAGAGGATCCATTGCTCTAATTCAAGTTCTTCCCAAATGTCTTATGCATGCCAATAACTCATTCATCTCCTGAAAGGACCTCGAGTTCTGGAATCAGAAGGAAGTTTTTCTTCCTTCCTGCCCCTACCTAGGTTTTCTATTGTTTTGATCTCCCCCCTAAGACAATGTGTCTGGAGCAGTTTAATTTTTGAAATGGTATAGAGAAGCAAAATAAGGAAATAAATGATGAAGGAAGGAGGGTGGAAAGAAACAGCTAATGTTCTAAAATATCACTCTACAGACAATAAGATATGACAGAAGAACTGCAAGAGGACAGTAAGAATGCAGACATGAAAAGGAAAAGAGAGCTGATACTATGGTGTATAGCCATTTATCATTCTGTGGCAGGCTGTTTTGTGGATTGAATAAAGTTTGAAATAATAATGTTAGTTGCTTATGTTTTTATCTAGGAATCTGTGTTTGTTTGTTTTTTGATCAAGAGATTGTTATAGATACAAGCCAAAATACTATTATCTTGAAGCCAAGTTATAGATACAGCTCAAGGTGAGAACTCCAATGTGCTGTGGAGGAATAGTATTTCCAGTGTGTGTACTTTTCAGAAATGTGGGAATGACATGGGGTGGGAGTGGATGTGTGAGGAGAAAAGTGACTTCTGTATCAAGGAAAAGCTACCCAGAAGAAAATCACAATAACAGAGAGACAGACACATGTAGATCAGTTTCAAGGGTCCAGAATGAAGAAATACATCAAACCACATGGCAAAATGTGTCTGAAGAAATACAGAGAAACATCTTAACACTGTAAGAAAGTGAAGGCTGGAAATGAAACTTTAAGTGGAAAGAGAAAGGCAAAGATGAAATTGAGTGATGAATCAGGAAGAAGTAAGTCATGCTGAGTAAAGAATGAATTGATATATAATATATTCAAGAAACATTCCTTAAAACAAGTTTTTGGTAAATAAGTGTATTTGATAAATATTAATCCATCATTAATCATTTGGCAAATGTATATTTTGCAAATTGTCTAAAGTCCTGAGTGAGAGCCCAGATTCTACTTTAGGCTCTGGATCTCAAGCCTTAGCTCTTCAGACCATATCCCACTTTCTCAAAACAAATGAAAGAAGTGAAGTAAAGTAGCCAAGCAGGAAATCAAACAGGGCCTTCAAAGCAAGCCAAGAAAGAGTCACTAGCTTCACCCAGATATCTGGTAAGCAAACCTAGAAGCAGAAATAGAAACAGTTGTAAAAGGAACTAAATGGGGCTAATGGATTAAAGAGACATTTGTGGGAAAGGGAGGAAGGAGCTTTCACAAATAACTGTGAATATGTACATGTAAATACAAATGCATGCAAAGATTAATATGAAGAACTTCTAAAATGTTTTAAGGGACTTTACTTAGCAATATGAAATGTGTTTTGTTTTAAATGTGTATATATATTTAAATATTATATATGTAATATTCCATTGTGTGTATACATACCCCCATGCTTTGAAAAGGAATGAAGTACTGGCACATGCTATAATATGGATGAACCTTGAGGACATTATGCTATGTGAAATAAACCAGTCACATAACACTTTATGATTCCACTTATTCAAATGGAGTACCTTGAATAGGCAAATTCACAGAGATAGAAAGTACCATAGAGGTTACCAGGTGCTGGGGTTGGAGGGGCAGGAATAGGGAGCTGTTGTTTAATGGGTACAGAGCTTCCATTTGAGATGATGAAAAATATCTGGAAATGAATAGCAGTGATGGTTGCACTACTTAATGCTACTGACTTATACACTTAAAACTGGTTAAAATGGTAAATTTCATGTTATGTATATTTTACAATAAGAAAAAAAATGGAAGAAGAAAGCAAAAAGGAGAGTTAATATCAGAGTGATGCAATATGAGAAAGACTTTGCTCTGTTTCTGGCTTAAAAAAAAAGACTATGTATTTTTAGAGAAAGGGGAAGGTAAGGAGAGAGGGAGAGAAATATCAATGTGTGGTTACTTCTCACATTGGGGACCTGAAGCACAACCCAGGCATGAGTCCTGGCTGGGAATTTAACCAGCAACCCTTTGGCTTGCAGGCCAGTGCTCAGTCCACTGAGCTATACCAGCCAGGGCTCTAGCTTTGAAGATGGAGGAAGGGCCGATGAGCTAAAGGATAGGGGCAGTTAAGAGAAGCTGGAAAGGGCAAGGAAACATTCTAGAGTCTCCTGAAAGGAATGCAGCCCTGGGACACCTTGGTTGTATCCCAGAAAAGCCCATTTTGGACTTCTGACCTTCAAAACTATAAGAAATAAATATGTGTAAGATTTAAAAAAATTGTTACCACCACCGAAAACAAATTTTATTTTATTTTAAACTAGATGATCTAATACTACTGCTTTATCCAAGTAGTAGAGTGAAAATTAATAAACAGAAACCTCCTTTAAATTGCAGTTGGGAGAACCTATGGGGGTTGAGGGAGGCTCTCATGCCCTACCACTCATCCTCAATTACCCCAAAACAGGAAGGGAGTACTTTCCACCCCACAGGGAAGATGTTTTTCTACTCTACTACTATTCCAGAAGCAAGGAATAAGATCTTTTCTTCATTGCCTTGCAACCACTCAGCCAATGAGAGACTGCTACAATAAGCCAATGAAAAGCCGTACACTTACAATGCCCAGTTACCTCCAACAGACTTTATTTACAACAGTCCCTCTGAGATCCCCCTGTCCTCTTTAAAAGAATGGCCCTCTCTTTTGGACCAGTGGGTGGTGGGTGGTCGCTATTAAACTACATGTCCTGAGTTGCAATTGGTTGTTGTTACAGAATAAACCCATTTTCCTGGAGAAACAGTCGGTTGTCCATTTGTTTAAAGTCAACAGTAGATACTCTGTTGGCACCTCCATCAGGAGACCATCCTTCCCCTTCCCCACCCCAAACCTGAACATAGCTAACCTGTTGGCAAAGGTCATAGAGCTGATGGCTCCCAAGCAAAGTTGCCAGATGCAGCAAATGAAATTACAGAACCCAAAACAAACAAAAGATCCAGGACCAGTTAAATGTGAATTGACCATGCAATATTTGGGATATATACTAGAAAACTATTGGTTGTTTATCCGAAATTTACATTTTACTGAGCATGAGTACTTTATCTGGCAAGCCCTATTTCTAAGCCACATCCAATGAGATCACACTCACAGGGATTTTTGGTCGTTTTGCATTTAAAAAACATAAAAGATTAAATGGATAGGATGTCTTTTTTTAAAATGTGTCCTCGCCCCCTCATGGCTGATCTTCAGTCTCCCCGACACGCAGGCGACTCGCACAGGTGCAGAGTGACCTTCAGAGCTTGGGAAGCGCAGTCTGGCACCAGCGCCGGAAGGCGTTGTTGGCAGGCGCGGAGCTGTTTCTAGTGCTTGGGGCCGGGCGGGGAGCGGGGTGGGGGCGGGGGCAGGGCCGCCTGGGCTGCTAGGGCTAGTAGCTGTCACCTCAGAGGACCTATCAGCGCCCTCCCTCTCCCTCTGCCCTTCACAAGGCTCGGACCTGGTCCATATTAGGCAGCGCGGGTCAATCAGGCCAGTCGCCAGCCTCCAACTGCCTGCCTGCCCTGCGCCCTCCGGACTTACGAGCGTCCTTGACAGCCACCAGGCCGGACAACCCCTGAGAAGGGAGAGGGGCCCTATCTCAAGAGGGGGACAGCACTCCCGTAAGTACAGAGTGACGGGGCAACGTGGGGCGTCTAAAGTCTAGCCTTAGTATAGCGCTTCCCCTGTGTCTCTAGCTCTTTGCCAGCAGGGCTTAGCTCAGAAGTCGACTCCTCATATAGATCATCTCTGCACAGCCAATGCTCTCTTCCCCCCTTTCTGTGACATTATTCAGCTTGATAGCCTTCGCGGTGCTATCATTCTTTTAACTACATGAAAATTTGCCTCCCTTACTAAGCTGTAAGCTCCAGAAAGGTAGAAGCACCCCATTTCTCTGTTTCTGGTTGTCTTCCTAGAACCTCAAATAGTGCCTGGCACTTTAAAAAGCTTCAGTAAACATGGAAAGTATCCCCAGGCAACTTTCTTAATTTTTTTAAAAAGATTTTATTTATTTATTTTTAGAGAGTGAGGGAAGGAGAGAGAAGAGGAGGGAGAAACATGGACGTGAGAGAAATATCAATTCGTTACCTTTTGTAAGCACCCCCACGGGGGACCCAGATGCCCAACAAACTGAGCCACAACGGTCAGGACAACTCTTAAATTTAAAGCCAGGGATATAATTGCCTTGCATTCCCCTCCCGCTCCACAGAACTAATGACCTATAATGCATCTTAAATCTCTTTGAAAAGTATAAAGCATGGTGAAAACTCAAAACATTGTGAACTGAAAGGAAAAAATAAAGAAGTCTGTCTTATTTAGTTTTATTATCCATCCACCTGGCCATTATTAAGCATCTAGTGTGAGGGATGATGATTATTATTATTAAATGAATCAGGCATTTGCCATACTAGTGGGAGACTCAGAGTACATTTTAGGTTGGTACATGTGTTCTAAGCCATTTTCTACCAATGTCTGCACAAGATGGTAATCCTGAAACAAATTAGGATAGGGGGATGTAATAGTAAAAACCAGGGTTCACAAACTTAAATGGCTGTAGGATAACTAAAGAAGCAGTGATGAGAAATGCAATAGCATAGAAAGAATTATAAATGATAACTGGGAGTTGGGGAATATGAGAATAAATGTACCATCTGAGAGGTGGCATCTGGCTACTCAAGTCCTGCTCATTGTTGTCACCATGGGAATTAAGGGCCCACTGTTTCCATATTGTCCATTATTTTTAATAGATGCTGGAATGTTTCAACTTTGCTGGTAAACAACTATTAATAATTCACAAAAATATAAAAAGAAGACTGTGAGCAGCAAATTTGTGATCTCTGGCTTCAGTTATTCTCTAAGAATGGTAACCAAATTCCTAAGAGCACATGGTGACTAGGAATTAATTTTGAGAGTAGGAGTGAGAAGTGAGTGTCACAATGCATCAAGCTATAGGCAAGGAAATCAAGTTAATGATTCTGGGTGATTTACTTAACTTGGACAAAAGAACAGCAAATTGAAGAATTGAACACAACTTTTATATATAGAAAATAATCTCCAAGATAGTGGTTTATTAATATGTATAAAATGTAAAAGAAAAAAGGTTATTATAAACTTGTAATTTAGGACTAAGCAAAAAATTCATTTAATTGCAGAAACCATATTAAGCAACTTTAATGTGCCAAGTATCATAACAGACAGATGTTAAGAATACAGAAATGATTAAGACATGAGCCTCCTGCCCTCAATGTTCTCATCATTGAAATGGGGGCACACATATGCATAAATAAATTGCAGCAACAACAGTGCAACCACTATGGTCAAGGTACAAACTAAGGAAGGCAGAGAAGTCTTCACAGGGAAAGTGATATCTACGCTGAATATTGAAGAGTCAATTCCATTTTTTCAGATATAAAGGCATGTATGCATTATTCATGGTTCACTACTACTAAAAGAATGGAAAGGAGGGAAGGAAGAAAGGAAGGGAGGAAGGAAGGGAGGGAGGGAGGGAAGCGGAGAAGGAAGGGGAAGGAAAGCTTAGGAGGTGCCAGACTGTGAAGGACCTCGTAACATCTGAATGAGGTGTAGTGTTGCTGAAAATAGGCTCAAGATAATTTTTAAAATATGAAGTAGTGACTTTATACCCAATAGTGTCAACTGATGTCCTTCAATGCCAATAGGAATCCCTAATTTGGTGTGCATTGAAGAATGATACTATTCAGTGCAAAACCATTCAATTGTAATACAGTACAACTGCGAAAATAGCACAGCTGTGAGGCAGCCCTGAGGGTAGGCCCTTCTTCAGCTAGACAGGCTAGACACCTCTGCACCTCAGTTGTCTGCTCTGTTCTGCTCCTTGCTGGTCTGCTTTGCACTCACTACTTCTGGTCTGCTCTATTCTTTGCCAGTCTGCTCTGGCCTGTGTTAGTCTGCTCCAATCTGCTCCTCTATGCTCCTGAGAGATCTCTTCAGTGTTTCAGTTCAGCCAGGGAGACAAAGTCTTCAGTCTTCAGGTCAGCCAGGGAAATGAGGTCCTCCATCTTCAGTGGAACAGGAAAGTGAGCTCTCAGAGTCAGAGGGGAGCTGGCTTATATGGACAAAAGCCCCTCTGCCCACCCATCCCTGATTAGTCTGTCCTAATACAAATAATCTCACAGTCTGATTGGTCTAAAAGACACTATCCTGATTGGTTAGTAGAGAGCTGCTCTGGTTGGTCAGAGCTGTGCAGCTCTAATTGGATGGGGAAAGCTTCAGTCCTATTCGTGGAAATAGGATTCCAGGAACTCCTTTATAAAGGGCTGGTTCAGATGGCAGAAACAGGGTGCAGACACTCAATTCAGTTCAGAGGCAGGCAGTTCAGTGCAGGCTCTCTCTGAAGTGGAGTTTGCAGGAGAGGCCCCTGTGTAGAAATGGCTGCTAAACTCTGCTTTTGTTTTGTTTTGTTTGCCCAGTTAGCCACCAGGAGGCCTTCTTAGCAAGACTCTTCTTTTTCAGTGTTTACAGTAGTCACCAATTTACAGAAGGATTTTGTTTAAACATTGGAACTGAGACATGATTTTCTGATATGCTGATATTCCTCAGCTTGCCAACCAAAGTCTGTGGAACAGAGTTTTAGACACATTAGAATTTATTACCCTGTCCAAGTCGTTTCTTGGGTCTTCAATTTTTTTCATTGATAAAATTCAAGGCTTTGTTGTTGATCAGCTATCATTTCATATTAAAACCTACTCACCATATTGAATATTTTTATGGGGAAAAAAACACACTAATTCAGGAATCTAGTAACTTCTTTTCCCACAAAGCAGAAGCAGGAAGGAATTATTTCTGCCCTTCGCCCAAAGCGATTCTCATTCAGACTACGTAAGTAAGTTGTAAGCTTTTGTATATTCCAAATACATAAGTTGAGCTGCATACACCTTGACAATTTAAAAAAAAAGTTTGTTATGTAGCTATAACACTTTTACAGATGAAGAAACCAAGGTTTAGAAAGATTACATAATTTTAAGATTACAGCAGGTAAGTACCTAAACTGAGATTCAAACCCAGGACTATCTCACATCCAAGCCCCAACTTGCAATGTCAATATCTTCTGTGCACCTTATATGTACAAAAAAACAATGCTGAAACTGTTTTTTGAAGTATGGTGGCTAATTTAACCACCCAGGTATTTTTCAGGATTTTCATCAGTGAATTCATTTGGTCTATAAATCCATTGCAATTAGGGTAGCTTTCAGGAGTTGTATAAAAGGCAGTTGGAAGAAAGGGATACTTAACAGATCTATATGCCTGTCTTTAAAAATTCACAAATATTTCTTCAGAATGTTTGAAACAGTTATTTTTTAAAGTATTTTTGTTGCTGGAGCCAATGTTTGGGTCAGAGAAGCTGCATTTAAATAAAGTATTTAAGAAACTGATTTATGTTTTGGAAACTTGGAGACAACCAGATGATCTTTTTAAAATGAGAATCTGATCATTCCCCTTCTCAAAACTTTTAAGCTGGATTTAAGCAGAGAAGTGGTGATTAGGCACCCAGAGAGGATACTCACAACCTAGAAAATGGATTTACCAAAAACAGTAGAACAGGATTAGTTGACCTGCTGCTTGTTTTTGTATGTAGTCCATGAACTATGAATGAATTTTATATAATTTTATAAATTTTATATAATTTATATAATTTTATATAATTTTATTTTTTAAAGATTGTATTTATTTACCTTTAGCGAGAGGGGATGGGAGGGAGAAGGAAAGGGAGAGAAACATTAATGTGTGGTTGCTTCTTACACACCCCCCACCAGGAACCCAGCCTGCAACCCAGGCATGTGCCCTGACTGGGAATCGAACCGGCGACCCTCTGGCTCAATCCATCGAGCCTCATCAACCAGGGCTGAACTTTATAATTTTAAATTATCTTTTAAAATGAAAGAAGAATAATATTCTATAACATGAAAATATGTGACATTCAAGTTTCAGTATCCATAAAATATTAAATTGGCATACAGCCACGCTCATTTGTTTATTTACTGTCTGTGGCTACTTTTGCAATATAATAGAGAAGTTGAGTTGTTACTATAAAAACTGTTTGGCCTACAAAGCCCCAGTTTGTTGACACTTGCACTAATGGGAGTGGTTAATAAGAGTACAGACTTTGGAGTCAGACAGAACTTGGTTCTAGACTCAGTTCTTGCATCTGTATATGTGGCCATTTGATGAGAAAAGATAAACTCAAAAGAGTATCAGGGTCATCGTTGCCTTCTATCAAGGAGAAATGAGGATAAGTACAAGTTTCTATGGTTCTTTTACTTGACAGTGTAATAATAATAGAAGATATAAGAATATAACAAAAGTCAAATTTTATAAAATAAATAGTTTGCAATTACCTTAGGCAGACTTTTCTCAATATTTTTACATATGCCACATATATTCATAAGGACTCTTAAGTGCCGATAACAGCAATCTCAATTCAAATTAGCTTAAACAATAAAAGGCATGGTTTGTCCTTCAAAACTGAAAAATACAGCTATAAGGCATGTTTCAAACTCCATTGCTCTGGGTTCTCTCCTTGTTCCCTATGTTGCTCTCATACTGGTTTATGGCAACATGGATGTGGCAGTTCCAGACCTCTCATCTGTATAACACATGGACACCCCCAACCATTGAACCAGAGACCTGAGCTTCACTCTAATTATAATAATCTCAGGTCTCACATCCATCCCTGAACCAGTCACAGTGGTGAGGCAGGTAAGAGTCAATCCCAACCTAATTTCACCAAGTGATAGCAGGTTGAATACTGGGGAAAACCCAACGTTGTCCACTATAAAGTTCTTTATATTACATATAATGTGTTTATAAAAAAGCAAACACAAAACATGCTAGTTATTATTCTACTTTTAACCTTTCTTTGAAACTAATGCCACCTGTATATTTATTAAAATTGACCTAGTCTGTAATCCTAGGGCTTTTGTCATAACATCAGCATCCTCAAAATCTCATGTCTGTCCTAGCAACATCAAGATCAACATTTTAGGAACTAACGAATCTGAACTACCTGCAGTTTGTTAGATCCAGTGATCGTATCTGGAAGCTGCACTTGGCCTTCCAGCATTATTAGTATTGATTTCCTTTGAGGGATTCTTGTATATCAGTGCAATCCTAAAATTTTAAAAATATGTATTGCCTTATAAGAAAGGTTTTATGCTTTTCAACTTAAAGTAACAACTGTCATCTGTAAAGTTGATTGATGTGTTTATGTATCATATAGCCTATGATTTGGGCTAATCATAAGGTATTATAGGAGAATTCAGAAATATAATAACTTCTTAGCCCACAACTGGATTCTCTTTGTAAAAATCTTTTTTTTTAAAAAAGAAAAAAGCAAAGGTTCACTTTTAACCTGCAAATCCTTGCAAAGAAAGTCTTAGGCTTTTATTGAAATAAAACTGAGCTATTAATGCCAGAAAATCTGGCAATGAGGGTTTTATTCCTAGTTTAAGTATACAGATTCTAAGATTGGCTAGTCTTTTTTTTAATTTTTATTTATTTAGAGTTTTTTTTTGCATTCATACTTTTTTATTATATTCTTTTCCATTACCATTTTGGCTAGCTGTTATAATTCCTTTTTATAGGTCTTATAGTTGCCATTATATAATTAAACATTCCTATCATTTAAACTTGTTTCCTGAAAATAACTATAATTTAGCACTGAAAAAATGCCATGTCTTATAGAGACAGATATTTCTAATTCTTTACAGGATCACAGGGATTTAGAAAATGTGGAATAAGCCAAGTGGTGAAAGACAAATACCATATGATCTTACCAAAAGAGGAACCTAATGAACAAAACCATCAAACAAGTGATACAGAACCAGAGGCATGGAAACAAGGAACAGACTTTCAGTGACCAGAGGGAAGGAGGGAGGGGAATAAGGGGGGAAAGAAGGGGAAAGGCCCAATCATGAGTATAAATGACTCATGGACATGGACAACAAGGTGGGGATTGACCGTAGGAGCAGGGGATGGGGTGAAGGGCAGGGGAGAGCAATGGAGGAAAATTGGGAAAACTGTAATAGAATAATAATAAAAAAAAGAAAATGATAATCTTTACAGCTGACAAATTTTGTTCTCACATTTTTGAAATTATCACCTCCCCTTCTTTCTTAACCTCCTAGTACTGACTTTTCTATTGTCAACATTTATTTTTGTTACACACAATTTACAGCCAAGTACAAACTAGAAAGAGTGAAAGACTTGAGATCCCCTCCTCACATGAAAGTTTCTGACTTTAGGAATGTCTTTCATTAAATAAAAACAACTAATAAACACTCTTGAAACAACCTGTTTCCATTTCTCTGGGGAAGGTGAAGATGAGACATCTAAGCTTAAAGAGGCTTATAATTAGACTAGGGCTTTTTAAATTGAGAAGTGATACAGTCTCTGCTACTGTGAAATAGGGGACAAAGAAAAGCTGAATAAGGAGGGAAGAGAGAAACCAAATGACTTTCATGTATTTTCTAAGTTTAGGATGATTTATTTATAAATTTAAATTATTGTAAAGTCTCAGGTCAGCAGACATTGGGTTGTATGTTTTGAATTATTTGCCCCAGAGTAAAGTTTGAGTAGAATTTTAGGGAATTTTTATTTCCAGCCATACTACATAGCCCATGGTTGTCATTTTGTGAATTGGCAGCTTTAACATTTGGGTGTATTTTGGGGGAGGTGCACATAGCTTTTTATGTTATGTTGCCTCTCTTCAGAGAAAATGTTAACCTAATTTCTATGTACTCCCTGCCTGCAGGGCAGCTGGATTTGATAACTGGAAGTAGAATTGCAAAATATGCCCATCTTATCACTTCTGTTTCATTCACCATGAGAGGAAGGACTTTCCAGCACCACTAGAAAAGATCTCTGAAGCTGATTAGGAAAAGAAAAATTTGCTGTATATACAATTGGTGTTATTTTTAGATATAAAAAAGTAGTTTTCCTGAAGTTAAACTATTCTGTTTGGAATGAATACTCTTTATTTATAAATACTCCTTAGAACTAATGCTGCATTTTAAATATTATAGAGAATTTTTTCTTAGAGGAAAACTGCTTCTTTTCTTTCCCTCAGGATTGTTATAAGACATCTCTTGTTGTTTTGTGAGTAATCAGATATACAAATAGCCCCTCAAGAATCAAGCTAAATTTGAAGACGTCTTAGAAACATTGGAGAGTCTATCATGGAGTACAAAATTGATGGGAAAGAAAAATACCAACATAGCTTGAATTTACTGAATAAAATTAAGAACATGAAAGAATTTGCAGAAATGATTGATGTAGTAGTCATCGCAGAAGGAGAGAAATTTCCTTGCCACAGACTGGTCCTGGCTGCTTTTAGTCCTTATTTCAAAGCCATGTTCACCTGTGGACTACTTGAATGTACTCAAAGGGAAGTCATACTTCATGACATCACAGCAGAAAGTGTATCAGTTATATTGAATTACATGTACTGTGCAGTTTTGGAGATCAATAATGCCAATGTACAGACTGTAGCTATGGCTGCCTATTTTATGCAGATGGAAGAAGTCTTTAGTGTGTGTCAAAAATATATGATGGACCACATGGATGCCTTCAACTGTGTAGGTATCTATTATTTTGCAAAGCAGATTGGAGCTGAAGATTTATCTGATCAATCAAAGAAATATTTATATCAGCACTTTGCTGAGGTGAGCTTAAATGAAGAAATATTAGAAATTGAAGTGCACCAATTTCTGGCACTTATTAAATCAGATGACCTTAACATATCCAGAGAGGAGAGCATTTTGGACTTAGTTCTGAGATGGGTAAATCATAACCAAGAATTGCGCAAAGAGCATCTTTTTGAGCTTTTGAAGCAAGTAAGATTGGAACTTATAAATCCTTCTTTTTTAAGACAAGCCCTAAAAAGGAACACAATGCTTCTATGTGATGCAAATTGCATTGACATAATTCAAAACACATTCAAAGCCTTCAAAACACCACAACAGCATCCTCTAAATCTTCGTTATGGCATGGAGACTACTAGTCTTTTGCTTTGCATTGGCAATAATTCTTCAGGAATCAGGTCAAGACGTAGGAACTATGGGGATGCCAGTTTTTGTTATGATCCTGCATCACGGAAGACCTACTTTATCTCATCTCCCAAGTATGGGGAGGGTTTAGGATCTGTGTCTACTGGTGTTGTCATGGAAAACAATTCTATAATTGTGGCTGGAGAAGCAAGTGCCTCTAAACTCTCCAGACAAAGGAACAAGAATGTTGAAATCTATAGGTTTGTACCTAGCAATATGTTTGTTTGTTTTAATTATCTTGTTTTGACATTAACAACAGTAGAAAAAAATACTCCTGAAAGAGTGATCACATCTTAAATTATATGTAATCAAAATTATCCTGTAATTGCACATTTAACATATATATAATTCATAATTAAATCATCCATACTTAAAAACCTTCCTCTTCCTTTGTTAAGAATATATAGTCGAATTTACGTAAGTTAAATGTATGTATGTTTTGATTCCATCGTATATTTTTTTCATTTTTTCTTTATTTAAAAATAACTTTGTTTCTCCAGAGCTTGATATAACTTTTAACCAGAAGAAAAATTTATTACAACTGACTCCTTTGAACTTATTTATTTTAGTTCCTTCTCCAAAGTAGTAATTTTTCTCAAACAAAAATTACTAATTATCTGTCACATTTCATCTTGTATCCTTTTTATTTTTGTAAAGTTACACAAGTATGTATTGTATTTAGAAATTAGATAAATGTTTATGACAACAAATTTACCTCAGTGCTCTTACTTCTGGCTAGCAATAACTACTTATTTTGGATCTTTGACACCTCAAACTCTTTTTGTTTTTAGGGAAGTTTCTATCCTTTTTTATTTTTTTTAATTTAAAAATCATGTTTATTCTATTACAGTTGTCTCAGTTTTTACCCCTTTACCCCCTCTCTCCCATCCATCCCCACCCCTCACTCCCACAGTCAATTCCCACTCTGTTGTCCATGTCCATGGGTCATTCGTACATGTTCTTTCTCTAGTCCCTTCCGCTTCTTTCCACCATTGTCCTCTTTACCCATCCCCTCTGGTCACTTTCACTCTGCTCCATGTTTCCATTCCTGTGGTTTATTTTGTTCATTATTTTATTTTCTTAAATACAGTCCACTTATAGGGGAGATCATATGGTATTTGCCTTTCATCAACTGGCTTATTTCACTTTGCTTAATATTCTCCAGTTCCATCCATGTTGTCGCAAAAGGTAGGAGTTCAATCTCTCTCTCTTTCTTTTTTTCTTAAATGCAAATTGATTTTACTTATTTTTTTAAATGTCAAAGTTAATTATAAAATATTAAAAAAAATTAAAACCATTATAAAGTTTCAGCAATTAAACCAACATGACACCAGCACAGGAATAATCAAGTAGATCAATGAAATATAATGAGCATTCTAGACATTAACATATATATCTGTCTAACAATGTAACATATGATTAAATTGATATTTCAAATCCACAGGGAAAATAAGGCTTATTCAACAAATAAGGTACATGTATCACTATTACTTGAAATAAAGCAAATAGCCCTATTTCACACATTATAGAAGGAATATTCAGGTGAGTTAAAAATCAATATGTAGATTCTAAGGAGTTTTAGAAGAAAATAGAACTAATATTTTTCATGACCTGAAGTAAATTATTCAAACCCAGGGCTATAAAGTAAATATTGACAATATGACTATACTAAACATTTAACTATATAGTAATATACATATAAAAAAGTTAAAGGACAACGAAGAGAATAGAAAAGTATTTGCAACCCATCTAGAACATGGTTAATAGGGGTTTTTTTGTTTTTCTTTTCGTTTCTTTTGAGTGCGGAAGTTCTACAAACCTTTAATCAAGAAATGGATAAAGAATACCAAAAAGTCATTTAAAACTTTTTTAAATGATAGAAATAAGCAAGAAATATACCAAAACAGGTTTAGTTTCAACAAACAGTAAAGGAACAATTAAAATAACATCACTGCCACAATCAGATTAATGAGTATTAAAAATATTGGTAATATCAAATATTGGCAACTCTGAAGGAACTGGGTATTCATAGAAACTTGTTCTTCATCTTAAAGCAGTCCCTTTAGCATATTTTGCAGTGCTGGTTTGATAGAGATGTATTCCTTTAGTATTCTTTTGTCTGGAACACTCCTTATTTTGCTTTCCTTTGTATTTTTTAAAATTAATTTATTTTTTCAAATACATTTGTCTGTGGCTACCACCCACCACTTTCCCTTGCCCACTCCCTCCCTCCCTCCCGCCCTCAACTCTTCCCCTTTGGTTTTGTCCATGAGTCCTTGATACATGTTCCTTGACTTCACCCTTCCCTTCCTTTTCCCCCACCCCCCCTCCCTCCTTCCCTCTTGTCTCTGTTGGTTTCTTTTCCTTTCAGTGTTGCTGGTCTTATTTTCCTTGCATCTTTCTACTGTTGGTTAAGTTCCACTTATAGATGAGATCATATGGTATTTGTCTTTCACCCACTGGCTTATTTCGCTTAGCATAGTGTTCTCCAGTTCCATCCATGCTGTCACAAAGTTTAGTAGTTCTTTTTTAATCTCTGCTGCATAGCATTCCATTGTGTAAATGTACCATAGTTTTTTTGATCCAATCATCTACTGATGGGCATTTATGTTGCTTCCAACACATGGCCATTGTAAATTGTGCTGCTATGAACACTGGGGTGCATAGGTTCTTTTGAATTGGTGTTTTGGGATTCTTAGGGTATAGTCCCAGCAGGGGAATCACTGGATCAAAAGGCAGTTCCATTTTCAGCTTTTGGAGGAAATTCCACACTGCTGTCCACAATGGCTGCACCAGTCTGCATTCCCACCAACAGTGGACTAGGGTTCCCTTTTCTCCACAGCCTCGCCAGCACCTGTTGTTTGTTGATCTGTTTCTGATGGCCATTCTGACCGGTGTGAGGTGGTACCTCATGGTGGTTTTGATCTGCATTTCTCTGATGGCTAGTGATGCTGAGCATCCTTTCAAATGCCTCTGGGCCCTCTGTATCTCCTCCTTGGAAAAGCGTCCGCCCAGGTCCTTTGCCCATTTTTGGACTGGATCGTTTGTCTTCTTGGAGTGGAGTCGAGTGAGTTCTATATATATCTTGGAGATCAAACCTCTATCTGATGTGTAATTAGCAAATTTATTTTCATATAGAGTTGGGTCCCTTTTCATTTTGCTGATGTTTTCTTTAGCAGTGCAGAAGCTTCTTATTTTGATGAGGTCCCACTTGTTTATTCTTTCCTTTATGTCCCTTGCTTTAGGAGACATATCGGTGAAAAAACTGCTGCGTGGGATATCTGAGAGTTTCCTGCCAATGTTCTCCTCTAGGACTTTGATGGCGTTGCGACTTATATTTAAGTCTTTTATCCATCTTGAGTTTATTTTTGTGTATGGTGTCAGCTGATGATCCAATTTCATTTTTTTGCATGGAGCCGTCCAGCTCTCCCAACACCATTTTTTGAAGAGGTTATTATTGCTCCATTTTATGCTTCTACCCCCTTTGTCAAATATTAGATGCCCATAGAGACCTGGGCTTATTTCTGGGCTTTCTATTCTGTTCCACTGGTCTATGGGTCTGTTCTTGTGCCAGTACCAGATTGTTTTCAGTATAGTGGCTTTGTAGTACAGTTCAATGTCCGGTATTGTGATTCCTTCCTACTTTATTTTTCTTTCTCAAAATTGCAGCGGCTATTCGGGGTCGTTTATGGTTCCATATAAATTTTTGAAATGTCTGTTCTATTTCTGTGAAATACGTCATTGGTATCTTAATAGAGATTGCGTTGAATCTATAAATTGCTTTGGGTAGTATGGACATTTTGAGGATATTAATTCTTCCAATCCAGGAGCACGGTATATGCTTCCATTTATTTGTGTCTTCCTTAATTTCTTTCTTCAAAGTTGTATAGTTTTCTGAGTACAGGTCTTTTACCTCTTCGTTAAATTTATTCCTAGATGCTTTATTTTTCTTCCTGCTATATCGAATGGTATTTTTTTCCTGATTTCTCCTTCTTCTATTTCATTGCTGGTGTACAAAAATGCCTTTGATTTCTGAATATTAACTTTGTATCCTGCTGTTTTGCCAAATTCACTTATTAGGTTGAGGAGGTTTTTGGTAGTCTACAGGGTTCTCTATGTACACTATCATGTCATCTGCAAACAATGATAGCTTTACTTCCTCCTTTCCTATTTGAATGCCTTTTAATTCTTTTTCTTGTCTGACCGCTGTGGCTAGGACTTCCAATACAAGGTCGAAAAGAAGCGGTGAGAGCGGACATCCTTGTCATGTTCCCGATCTTAGTGGGAAAGCTTTCAGTTTTTGCCCGTTGAGTATGATGTTGGCTGTAGGTTTTTCAATAAGGCCTTTATTACATTGAGGAATGTCCCATTTATTCCCATTTTGCTGAGTGTTTGATCATAAATGGGTGCTATACCTTATCGAATGCTTTTTCTGCATCTATCGAGATGATCATGTGGTTTTTGTCTTGTCTTTTATTTATGTTATGTATTACGTTTATTGACTTGCGTATATTGAACCATCCCTGCATCCCTGGGATGAATCCCACTTGATCGTGGTGGATAATCTTTTTATTGCATTGCTGGATGCAGTTTGCCAATATTTTGTTGAGGATTTTAGCCTGTGTTCATCAGCAAAAATGGCCTGTTGTTTTCTTTCTTTGTAGGGTCTTTATCTGGTTTTGGGATCAGGGTGATGCTGGCCTCATAGAAAGAGTCTGGGAGTCTTCCCTCCTCTTGGATTTTTTTGAAATAGTCTGAGGACAGGGGTTAGCTCATCCTTAAATGTTTTGTAAAATTCTCCTGGGAAACCGTCTGACCCTGGGCTTTTGAGTGTCGGGAGTTTCTTGATGACTGCTTCAATTTCCCCAGCTGTTATCGGTCTGTTCCAGCTTTCTGTTTCTTCCTCCTTCAGTGTTGGAAGATTATACTTTTCTAAAAATTTGTCCATTTCATCAATGTTTTCAAATTTCTTGGCATATAATTGTTCATAGTATTTTCTGACGAATGTTTTTATTTCTGTGGGATAAGTTGTTATTTCTCCTCTTTCGTTTCTGATGTTATTAATTTGGGTCCTCTCCCTTTTTGTCTTGATGAGTCTGCTTAAAGGTTCATCAATTTTATTTATGTTTTCAAAGAACCAGCTTCTGGATTGGTTGATCCTTTGAATTGTTCTTTTCATCTCTATGTCATTCAGTTCTGC